GAGCTATGCAGCTCAATGGGCTTTACCTGGTGAAATATTATATATATTTTTCTATAGTTTAAATGATATCCGTACGTCGTCTTCATTTCCCCTTTTATTTGTACATTCGTATGACTCACTTGACACCGGGTGTCCCACGTGAGGGTGAACTCATCGTGCTGCGTTGGTGACTTTGCCACGAGAGGAATCGCTTCGCCACATCCCTTCACGCGAAATAACCTCTCGCGTTTCTCCGATGTGTTCTCGAATGTGCTCTTAACACCTCCCCCCCCCCCCGAACCCTTCCCCACTTTGAAAAATGGTTCAGAAACGTGGCCCATTGACAAAATATTTTTGTCAAAAAATTAGGAACAAAAAGAGGTGCATGCTTGGCGTTGAGAGACCGAAAAGAGGAAGAGACATGACTGAGAAAAAAGTACAACGAGCTAAAGACATAATTCAAACTCTCAAGAAAAGTAAGTGGGGCCTTGGCCAGGACACGTCGCGGCTAAATACGATGATGGATGCTGGTAATGAATAACGATGGAGCAGCAGCCAATGGATGGAATGCATCCAAAAGGAGGTCCTCAGAGGGTTGTTACCTCCCTGGACGCATGTTTGTGCACCGTACGAGGCCAACCGTGCGAATCCGAGGTGTGCGGGGGGGGGGGTGGAAGGACAACAGACTAAGCACATGAAGCAGTTCTAAAGAAATTCGTTTTCAATGTAAATTATTTAAAAGTGTGTTGTAGATTTCCAATATCGGAAGAAATAACGTTTCAGACGGCCACAGAAGGCCATCTGAGAGCGCGCGATGCAGGGACCGTTTTTGTTCGGTGAATCACGGGAGAGTGCGGCTTGCGGAGGTCTTCATCCAGCAATGGATTGGCCATGGCTGCTGACGCTGATGATGGATGGATTTTAAAATGAACGTCAACCAAATTGGCACGATCAGTGTGTCTGCTGCTCAAGCCAGCATGGCTGGGTGCTCATCTTCGCTGGTGGCCAGTGGTAGAATTTCCACATTTCTATGGCAAGGAGCCAGCCTCTCCAAAGGGGCATATATGTAGAGACATTTACAGCACAGCTCTTTTGTCCATCCACTGCTGGATTAGGGAAATGAGCAATTACTGTATAATATGAACAGACTTGTGCCTTCAGAGTGATTGTGGAATTTCCAACGGTGCCTCAACACAAATTTACTTGGCTAGGTATAGAGGTGAATTGACTTTAACCAATTTGTAAAATACATTTTCCAAAACGCCATCTACATTGTCAGTTAATCAGTGACGACACTTGCTCAAGTGTTTCATCTCGTGTAGAATCGAGTCCCGGCTCTTTCTGAACGGTAGGCACCATGAGCCCACGGCATTCAGTATGAGCTACGTATGACCTATGAGCTTTGACCTGGGTCACAATTAATCACGACAACGTTTCGCAGCGCAAAGCCTAACCACCGGCCCGGCCACCCGTCACGCGATGCTCCCGCGTTCAGGGTTGCAGTTTCGGAAGAAGATTCGCCCCATCCGTAGGAAGTTCCTGCTGCCATCATCTAATTTCCACTCGCAGGCCAAACTAAAAAGAAACGTGGATCTATCCAGCCGCCCGGTGCCAACACCTGTCCAGACAACTCCACGTTTCAATTGAAGCTGCGATCTGCGCAGTGGAATTTTAAGGCAAAGAGAGAAAAGAAAGGGAGAAAAAAGTAAAAAAATGTGCGCCGGCGCCAGCGTCGGGAGGGGGTGGGGGGGGCAGCGGCCAAGGATGCCCCTCGTGGCTCCGCCGTGCGGTCGCCGCAGCTGCTGCCCCGTTGACGTTTGCCGGCGTCGGCGTTGGGGGCGGCGGCGGTGAGGATCGGCCCGCAGACACCGCCGGCGGCGGCGGCGGCGCCCGAATCGAAGGGGCTACGACAATAACTCCAGCCCAGAGGTTTCCTATTTAAGGCGGCGGTTTTTAATTGACGATCAAAAAGCGGAGGCTCCGCGTGGCCGCATTTGGTCCCTCGGGCTGGATCTGGGCGCTGCCGTCCGGTGGAGGAGAGGCTCCTTCCGGCCGAGTCGCTGCTGCTGCCGTGGATATTCCGGTTGCTCGATTGGATCTCCCGTGCGGGAAAACGCTGCCAGTGGCATACCAGGAGGGTGGCGGAACGCGCGACGTGGAGATTTTGTTGTCGTCGTCGTCCTGATCCGTTACGACTTGTCCATTTAGGACGGACTCATCCATTCAAATTTCCGCTCAAGATGTCATGCAGTTGAGTCGCGCGTGCAAGAATCGATGACGATTTTTTCTGTATTTGCATTCCGATTTATTGGGCCTCTTGACAGCGAACAAAAGTGCAGCAAATGAGTCAGAAAAAAGATCGAGAACCAGAGGACAGGGAAGAAGAAGCACAAAAACGAAAAAAGGGAAACCCGATTTTTTTTTTCCAATTGAAGCGCCATTTTCTACGAATCGCGACAATTGGCGGAATCGCCCGGGGGGGGGGGGGGGGGGGGGGGGCCGCGGGCGAATCGTAACGAGGTTCGAGTGTCCAACGGACCTGAACGCGACGGTTTCCTTGCGGGCGTGCGGCATCGACCACTCTTTCTTTGTCTCCAATTCGGAACGGCCGTCGCGAGCCACGGGAGTCGCTGCGTCGGCCCCACCGTGTTGACCCCACCGTGTTGACCCCACCGTGGTCGCCCCACCGTGTTGACCCCACCGTGGTGGCCCCACCGTGTTGATCCCACCGTGGTGGCCCCACCGTGTTGACCCCACCGTGGTGGCCCCACCGTGTTGACCCCACCGTGTTGACCCCACCGTGTTGACCCCACCGTGGTGGCCCCACCGTGTTGATCCCACCGTGGTGGCCCCACCGTGTTGACCCCACCGTGGTGGCCCCACCGTGTTGACCCCACCGTGTTGACCCCACCGTGTTGACCCCACCGTGGTGGCCCCACCGTGGTGGCCCCACCGTGGTGGCCCCACTGTGGTGGCCACCCGCCACCCCCGTGACCCCCGTGACCCCCCCCCCCACCTCCATCGGCCTTCGGGATTTTTTTTGCGAACTCATTTTCAGAACGCGAGGAGCTTATTTTGAAACCACCCTCTTTACGGAGAGCGATGCGACAGCGGAACGGGTGTACGGATGTTCGTGGTCACCACCACTGTACCGAGAAACGTGAAGTGGGGAGTCCTTGTGTTGTGTTACGAAATGTGTTCATCGTTCATTTGGATTTTTCTTGGTAACTACTGACATAAACGCTAACTCTCGCCGTCTCGCCTTTGCACTATACTCATCAATATGCGTGTACAGTTACAAATAGAGTTATTTATTTATTTATGTTCGCCGAAAATGTATGGTGCAACAGGATTAATCGTGCGGATTAATGTTTCCCAGTAGCATGAGCTCATTATGATGAAAAGTCAACCCTGTCGAGTGCCGCTCTACATTTGTCCGAGTTTCATGAAGCAGTGCCACTTGTGTAACGACAGCATCTTGGACAGGCGCCATCCGTGAACACTGTGAGAGCCAAACGTTTGTGTCTGTGTGTGCTGTTACCATTACGTAACAGCACAAAGAGAGTCAAAGATCCTCATGGCCTTAAGCGCTGTTGGTGAGTAGCACCTATGAAGGCCGGCACAGCACACGAGGGGGTGGGTGGCCAGCACCACGCCCGGCCGCCTTTGTCTCCCCGGTGGCGATGTTTACACACCGTAGTAGTTACTTATTTGAGGCTGAGTCGACCTAGGCTAGGCCCAGGACCGGTTCAGATAGTCGTCACTAGTGTTGCCCGTGAACAGGAATCGAATTGGGGTTGCCGGGTTCACAGCGCAGTGCTCTAACCACTACGCTACCGCTCCCCCCATTGTAACAGTCACACACACGCACACAGTGTCTCGAACGTAATCTAAAACACAGGAAAGTGGTGGAGCGTGAATGTGTGTGTGCGCGCGCGTGCGTGCGAGCGTGTCAGCTCTGTTCGCGTGTGAACGGAGCTCAAATAAGGAAACCAAAGAACATCCCCTTACATCTTCCTCCGTCGCGTTTCCACACGATGCCCACAGCTGCCACCCCCCCCCAGCACCGCCCTTCCCCCACCTCGCACCGTTCAATTACGGCCGTTCAACGCGGCGGTCACTCGCTGGCTCGCCGCCCTCTGCCTAACCGCCCGCTCGCTCGTCCGCCCGTCTGTCCGCTCGCTCGCCCGTTCAGGTGCTCTGCGTCCGCTCGTGCCGTCGCGCACGCACGCGGGCACACCTGCACCGCTCGGGTTTCCACGATTCACAGAAAGGCCGAACGGCCTCGGCTCCACGAATTGGAGGAAGTGGGCAGTGCCGGGTTTTGCCTTTTGACACACGTGGGCGCGCTATAAAGGGTCGCTCCCGCCCGCCCGCTTTACTTTTCTTGTCCGCGTGTTGCCCGTGAAAAGACCGGCAGACGCGAGGAAACCGGTTTCTCATTCATTTTCTCGCGCGGGCCTCCTCTGTTTGTGGAAGTGTTCCGAGCGGCAGCGGAGGAATCTGTTTGCTTGTTTATTTATTTTATTATCTGAATGCGTTTCAAACATTCATGCTCTATGCATTATTGGGATGTTACTGGTGAGTAAGTAAGTACACAACCAGCTACACTGCTCCTCGCCAGGCGGTGTGCGTTTCCTTTGGGCGCAGAGTCATGACTAAATCATCACTAAGAGAGAACTTGTGGGGAAACGCTCGACTCTCCCGAGGGAGCGCAGCGTTTTTTTCTAGTCGCGCTGAAATTCACGACCTGGGGAGTTTGTTTGCCGGCAGCCGCCAGAATTTGTGGTTCGCGAATTACGTCGCTGGAAAAATGCTTTTCTGCCGCCGTACATGTCGGGTTTCCCCCCCCCCCCCCCCCGGTGTTTTCTAGAGAATTGCAGAAAGTGGGGCCAGAGCCGGCAACCACGGCCGATTTATCCTGTGTGTTCGTCTTCTGTGTTCGTATACCGACGACGACGACGACGACTCGGGCCCCGTGCTGACCGCGACGTGACGTCTCCCTCCCCCCTCTCCCGCAGTCTGCGAGTGCTTCATGTGGCGCGGAGATGAGCGGCGGCGGCGGTGGTGGCGCAGGGGAGCGGGAGGCCCCACCGTGGCTGCCCCAGGACGGGCCCTGGAGGGAGCTGTGCGAGCGACTCGCCCGCGAGGCGGCCACCGACTTTGCGGGGCAGTACCGCGCCTTCACCGCGCTGCACCCGCAGTGGGCCGGCCCGGACGCCGCCGCCACCTTCGCGCAGATCTTCGCCGAGTGCTTCGCGCAGCGCTTCCGAGCCGAGGTCGGCCGACCGAGCGGCGCCAACGACAGGAGAGGAGGACGAGGCGGCGGTGCCGGCGGCAGCCCGGCGGCCGCGATTAGCGCGGCGTCCGAGGAAGCCGCGGCGGCGGCGTCGAAGAGGGGAAGCGTCGGGTCGGACTTCTCGGGCCGGGAGGGCGCGGCAACGGCGGCGTCGCAGATGGCGGCGTCGCGCCGGCGCAGCACATCGCAGGAGTTCACGACGAAGCGCGACAGCGTCTCGTTAGACCCGCTGCCGCCCCGCGGCCCGGGCCCCGCCGGCGGCGGCGGCCCCGACGTCTACCCGGCGTCGGAGCGGCGCTCGCTCACCGAGCCGGCGCCGCCGTCGCCGTCCTCGACGGAGCAGGCGCGGGACGGCGCCGACTCCGCCGCCGCCGCCGATGCCAAGTCGCTGAGCTCGGACGAGGCGTCGTCGCTGCGGAGGGGCTACGGCCCCGAGCCACCTTCGCGCCTCAGGGCGTCGTTCCGGCGAGTGTGCGACATGTTCCGGCTGCGCAAAAGGACGAGTCAGGGCGGCGGCCACCTCGCCGCAGCGAACGTCGCTCGCCGCGACGGGGAGCGGCCGTGCGCCAACGGCGACCCCGGCGAGGCGAGCCAGGAGCCGACGGCGGCCGTCCCGGGCGCCGCCGCCGCGTCGGCGTCTCGCGAGCAGGGGCGGCCGCTGCTCTACCGCTGGTTCTCGTGGTCCCAGCAGCGGCGCTCGGACCCGCGGTGCGTGAGGCGCGAGGGGACGCTCAGCTACGTCGTGGCGGAGGACGTCAGCGGCAGCCAGGTGCGGTGGCGGCGCTGCCGGCTGCTGCTGTGCCGGGCCGAGGGTCGTAGCGGCGGCGCCGTCGCCTCCGCCGCCGGGTACCAGCTCGAGTTCTACGTCCCGCCCAAGGTGGGTGATGCGCGAGGATCGCCGAGCCGTCGGGCGCGCCGCCGTAACCTGGCGAGGCTGCTGCGATCCGATTCGCCGTGTTGGGGTGCGGCGGGCGGGCGGGCGGCGATGTCGTTCGCCGGCCGTATCGTCGCACGGCTTGGGCCGTGCCGTAATGCATCGCGTCGTACCAGAGTGTCACGGAGGGGGGTGGTTGAGAGCTGCGCCGCATTGCTGTAACCGCGCCGCAGAAGGCCTCGGGGCCCGGGACGTTCGCGACACGCTGTTCTCTGATCGAAGTTTTGAGCTTGAAGGCAATGCGTGTGTCGATCGCGTGAGCAGCACGACAAGTCGAAGCAGTCTTCTGGCCTCGCATGTGAGAGGAACGAGGAGCGCTCTGTTGTTGGCGATGATGGTGTGGGCGAGTGGATGTACATACGTTGAATTTAGTACGCGCAGTACGTAGCCATACCGTGCTAATCGGAGGTGCCGGGGGGAAGGACAGCGAACTAAAACACACAAACGCACAGGAAACGCAAAAAAACGCACCCCCAGGGGTTGGGGCGGGGGGGAGACGATGAAGGGAATAATAACCATCGTAGAAAAATCTCCACTTCGAAATAAAATAAAAACGTTGGTCCTATGTGGCTGGAGTGTACCATTTTCTCCCAGCGGCGTTTGTTTTAAGCCCTGCGCGACAAACGCACCGCAAACGAATGCCGGTCGAGTTCGCTCGACCTCCGGGCAGCGAATGTCACATCCCTGCCACCGCCGGCCGCCACCACGGAATTTTTTTTGGTGCCGTTGGTTCGGCGACGCCGAAAGTCTGCCGCCGGGTTATCGATCTGCGGCAGTCGGGCTCGGCGTCACGTCAGCGAGGAGAGGGACATTTGCTTTTTGGAATTCTCCAAAAAGGCGAGCGGCAGTGCACTGATAGCGGCGACGGCTCTCAAGGATAACGTCGGGGGGACAAACTCGTTCCGAAAGTGCCCCACGGGTGAGGCCTCTCCACTCTGGCGGCGGCACACACATCTGGTCACACGCCTCGGGAAAGGGAGAGTGCTCGTCCGCGGATTTGTCAACCGGGCCAAAGGATCGTCATGAAAGTGAATTAAATGAACGGGCCAGATTTATTTATTTGGTTTGGCCACAAGCTGGCTACTGCTTGAGAAGCCGGTTTTATGCACGGGGGCGGCTGAAACCCGGATTCGATCCCGGGTCTGGTGTGACGTTAAGCACGGACTTTGCTTGGCACGGTTTTCCCGGCCCGCTGGTAATAAACGACGCAGTCCCAGGATCGTTGGCGTATAAATCACGCAGCTTTAAATCTTTGCTTGGGGATTTTGAAAAATATTTTTTAAACAAAGTTTTCTATGTATCCTTATATATTTATTTATGTTTTAACTCGCCCCATCTGATCGATGCGCCTTTGCCGCAAGGAGCTGTTTGTGCAGGGCCCACGGTCTTGCACGTTCCGCCGAGCGGGGGCAACGATTTAGCGTCTCCGCTGCGCGGGGGCTGCAGAAACAAAACGGCAAAGGCCCCCCCCCCGGGGTCGTGCGTGGGCCCCCCAAAAATACACAGCGGGCCTCCCCCGTTGCTCAAATCTCAAAAACGATGAACTAAACGCAAAAGCGCAAACCCGGCAGGGGCGGTGTGGAGGGATTTTGGAAAACCTAGGCCGACGTTTCAACTGCCGCGCCGGGAGACGGAATCGTTACCGGGTTGCAAGTCCCCCCGGCGTTGCCGATTGTTACCAACTAAACCAGCGGTCGGCAAACCTGCGGCTCCGGTGCCGCATGCGGCTCTTTGAAGGATTGCCTCCTCGCGACGTTATTCACGTTGCGTTGGCGGCTCTCGAAATAGAGTATAAATTTTTTTATTTTACCGAAATTCGAACAAAAATGTCTCCCCTTGTTATTTTGGTTGCTGATCCCGGAACTAAACTCGCGTTACTATTTGTTTTATATTACCGGGTAAGGCCCACTGAGCTATACAGGTTCTTAGACAGAAGCGACCTGGCTTTCACAAATGATAGCGACAGCGGAGAGTTTGCTGGAAGGTGCTGCCGGCCGGTTCAAATTTACTGTTACGGCAAAGGCGCAGGACCGCGATTGCCAGCTTCACACCATACCGCGGATTGTTTGGCCTACTCTTCCACGGTTGTTGGCGAGACGTCTCGGAAGTAATGGGAATAACCCCACACTAATTTGGACCCGTAACCTAACCCTGACCTCAAGCATAACTCCAAGCCCGAGATAACTGCGCTCTCAGCTTGGCAGCCTCCCGTCGTTAGAGCCGCGGGGAGATATTTGGCATGAGACGAGAGGAAATTATTTAGGCGCGTTGTGGGTACGACACGTGGCTGGCCAAAGATGCCTCGCAAAGATTGATTGCCCGCTTTCTTAGAAGTCCAGGATAATGGCAGTAAAATAAGTGAACTATGAAACTGAACTATTTTTATTTTGCCAGGTGAGGCCCACTGAACTATATAGTTCTTTTTCAGAAGCGACCTCGCCACAAACGATAACTCAAGAAAGTGGCGCTTATCACGTGGAAATTTATAGCAGCAAAATACTCTGAATTCACGTTGATTTTAAATGTGGAGGGAAAACCCGGAGGACCCGGAGAAAAATCCATTGATCGCTGAGAGAGAGAGACACGCAAACTCCAAATATACAGTAGGCATCAGGGTCAGGATCAAACCCACGACCTCCTGCGTACCAGGCGATGTGGTCAACATCTCGCCACCACAGCACCTTTATATATATAAAAAAAAAACTCTTATTAATCACAGACATCAGAAGCGGATCTTTATCTTGTGACGTTGGTAAATAGTAACCCAGTTGCTCTGATTCAGTCGTACGCGAGCGAGGGGGGGGGGCGTTAGCGTTTATTCGTAATTGCGGCGGCCGGCTGATAATTGCGGCGACAAATTGTAGCCTGGAAACTGGCGTTTAAATTTATTTTTACTCTTAAGTCTTCTGCTCTCATTGTCGGAGCCAGTCGTGTATTTATCGTCTTGACATGGCGATTCAGAACCCCGTGATTTTGGGATATACGAGTTTGTGTCAGGAGCTATTCCGGAGGCGTAAAGAAATTTGTCGGAGCCTCGCAAGCTCCATGGACCCTGACGAAACCCTGCAAAGCTTTCCCGGGTAGATGTGTGTGTGTGTATATATGTGTACATACGTAGACTGTACTCCCTCGTTAACCGCAAGGGAATAGCAAATTTCGTGGACAACGATATTGGCCTACGAAATGAATTACCTAAAATAAATACGCAAATAAGCTATTAAATACATGAAAATGATAATAACACAAAAAATAAAAATGGGTAAATTAAAATAAATCAACGTGAAAGTATCTCATCACATTCTCTCTCGTCACTTTCTTTCGCTCTCTCTCGACGCAGCAGTAGTTGTGTAGAGTTCCAGATGCAATTCGCAGAGAGCCAAAATCGCGGACAGCAAGTTCGTGAATAACGAGCGAATTCTGTCTATAGCATCGGTGCCGATCTCTCTGTCGCAATCGGAGGTTGGTACCTCATTTACCGGTTTCCTGAAATCACCACAGCTCATTATCATCATTATCATCATCATAATCATCATCGTCTCTATCGCCATCATTATCAGCAGTGACGGACTGGGACTAAACGTCGGCCCAGGCATTTGTAAACGCACCGGCCCAAATTCGGGATATGGAGTGGCTCTCTGTTGCCAAGTGACGACGTTGTGAGCGTGATTTTGCCATGCGATCTCATTGGGCCCGTTCGGGCTGGGTCCCAAAAACAAATTGGGATGCCGGTTAGGAAAAATCTTCAGGGCTGCCGAATATATGGGGACTTAATGCCAACTGAGAGCGTAAATAAGCAATGAAGCGTACACAGAGGTGATCAAATATTTTAATAAATAAAAATACACTTTGATTACATTTGCAATTTCCCCCACACAGACCGACCCGGCCCCCCACACCGGCCCACCGAGCACTTTGCCCAGGCTGCCCTATGTCCATTCCAGGCCCGATTTATCAGCCATTGTAAGTCCACTGCTGGACAAAGGCCTCCCAAAGGCTGTCGGCCATCGCTCACCATCCCACCACATCTAACGGTCGGCGGCCTGCAGAGCGCGAACGTGGAGCTCGTCCAAGCCGAGGGGTCAAATCGGTTGTTTCCTGCCACGTAAAAAATGTAGACGTCTGTCTCGTTGACCGCAACGGTGAAGAGATAAGCCTCTCCCTGTGGATGAACCTGCCTCGTGGTGGGGGGGGGGGGGGGGCTGTCATGGTTTAACTTTTGTGGACGTCGAACGCATTTCCGATGAGAATAACGGGGTGGTGATAACTGCCACTGCTCAGGTTTTGCTGCGACGTGATTTTCGTGGGGGGTATCAGAATCGGAATCTTTATTGACCCTGTTCCCAGTCGACATCGGGTCGAGGGTCGTTGCCGCGTGGCCCATGAGTCGCTGCACCCGAATGAGCTCCCCCAGTCCGTGGGACGTCGCGTCATCGAGACTCGCGGCTACCAAGCCGAGAATGCGGGGGGCAAGGAGCCACGTCTGCCTTTGGCGAGAGTCGTCGGTGACCGCGGCGACCAGCGAGGTTCATCTTTGCGCTTTCCATTTATCGAAGCTTTCCACGGAATTTCTCAACTGAACCACACCGACCCCCCCCCCCCCCCCGCCTCTTTGTCGCGGTGCCGCGAGGGTGGCGGCAGCAGGGTTGGGGGTTTCGAGGTTTACGGTTTCTTGGAAAAGTGGCTGAACACTGCCAAGCTAAGCGTAAAAAACACAAACGGCAAAACACAGAGAAAACGCAACGGCGATTTAAAAAGTCGCGGATGACGAAGTAAAAACGGGAAGGACAAGGGCAGAAATCGCGTGCGCGCACCGCACCAGGTCCGACGCTCGGACATCGTAGAGCGGCCCTCGACCGGATACGTTCGTTCAGCCGGGTCTGTTCGGGGCCAGCGACCTGGAAAATAATTCCTCACCCAGAACACCACAGCCAGCCGTAGCTCTC